ATTTTACTCTTAATACGTTATAATCTGATTTGTGCAATAGTGTTACCACTTTTCTTTTATCAGGCTTAATTATGACTAAGTTATAATTATTACTTAGTGACTTTATGGCTAATATTTCTTCTTTACTCAGATTAGTACTTTTTGTATTTAGAACCGTAATTATTAAAAAAGATGACAAACCGATGCCAGTTATTTTTGGTTTTAATACTGTAAAACGATTCATAACTACCCGACCAGTTTGTATATTCTGATAGTTGTTCCAACAAACATTCAGAAGTTAAAAGAGAATTCTGAAATCTGAATTCTTCAGGAGGTAATGCAAAAGTTAATCCACGTGCCACCATTTTAATTTACAAAATTATATGAATAGTTTCTTATAATATCATATATAATATCTCTCTAAAACAATTCATACACTGAAAATAAAGTTAAATTTATATGAAAACGTTTTATTTCCATTATCTTGTATACTTCGTTGGAGTGTCTCAACGTTTATGGTTTTCGATATACACATATAAAACCAGTAGTACAACAGTGGTTTTACTTATTTCCTTTATATAAAATTCTCTCTATTTTTAGAATAATTATTTGAGATTTTCGCAGAATAAGAGATTCGCCCGTTGTGTAAAAATATAGCTCGATTTCTTTATCGTAAAATAGGCTAAGTTTTCAAGTTTGCTGTTCTACTGTCCTATCTTTCTTTGTAAACTTGAATCTGAAAAGTACATTTTTGAGGAATCGGTGTGTGAACTTATTACTATCATTTAATAATGAAAAAAAAACAAAATAATTTGTGTCAAAACAGATTTCTTTTTCAGCAGCAGGCCATTTAAAACCTACACTAACTAACACGGGTCTCGAGTAGGTACGCGTATTTGGAAGTGTCTGCAACACCACAAGCGATGATCAGCCCCATTCAATAACCAGGAGAAAGGGACGAACGTTACGCGTAGCCAACATGTCACAACGATGGATTCAGAATAATTATTGATCCGTTTCTGAGAGCAAACCGCCGGCCTAATACGATCTCAAAATTAAATTCAGGAATCTCCAGGGTAATTCTGCGAATAGAATTTTGATCTGAATAAAATTACAAGTACTTCATTGCGAGAATCGAAAAGTTATCTGAAATTACGTCATTCAGAGAACCGAATAGTAAGGTAACTAATTTTGTCAACAAATCCATATGTAATGGTAAGTAATCTGTGTTTTTCTTCTTCCTCTTTTTTTTTTTTACAAGGACAAGATTGTGATTGGATATTGAATTTTGAATAAAATGATTTCTTGAAACCAACTCAATTCAGGGTAAGCTTGGTTATTATATACTACGCAATATCTAATTCTAATATCTTATCGTCAAGTGTTGGAGGAGACATGCGTAAAAAGCAAGATCAAACACATTTGATCCTTGTAACAAATGAGCTATTAAACACTATTACCTGCAGGCGTATTGTAAGTTCATTTACAATAAACTATGATTACTTCTATACATTAACTTTAGATTACAAGTAATCCAACTTTGTTAAAACAGCAGGGCATTAATTATTTACAGAATTATAAGTTTTGAAATATAGAAGATGGAATTGATAATAAAAACTCAATTTTAAATACTAGATATTTCATTCTGCCACAGATAACAGTAACTTAAAGTTAGGGATGTCGGTTTATTCGATCAATGTGTATGTATAAAACGTAAATATCAACTTTGATAATGTGGCATATTTATTGAACAAAGTAATGAAAATTCACACCTTCTGATGACGAAATTTCACGTTTTGCTTCAAATCTTGCGACTGGCACAACGTTTCGTTTACAGGTTTTGGATTTTTGAAAGCGTCAATGTCATCGTGGTTTTTCAGGACACAGCATGTCTTACTGACGTTGTCTCCTTGGCCAAGGTTATCAAGCTTCCACTTAATTTTATCATAATCTTTTGCTTCTTTTACACCACAGCAGCCAAACTTTTAGTAAATAATAAAATTGAACATATATTAGATACAAAGTTCATAAAATTTGTTCATCAGCTCCTGAAAAAAAACAAAAAACAAACAACAACAACACATGCTTATCACATAGAATACTAGTCAAAAGACTAAAATCAAACTAAGTCATTTATTTAAATATAACTTTATAACAAACATACAATTACAGCAGAAGAAGGTAGCAGCGATTTGCTCATTCAAATGGCACCGACATTTTCTTGTTTCTCCATTTCATTTAATCCTTAGCTCTACTTAATATTATGAGTAAATGTAATGTTGTATTTAAAACTTAAGTGACTAAAGTGGAGGGACTTGTGTTTGCCACTCTCAATCAAGCTGTTAATCATTAAAACCCATCATAATCTCTTCTTCTTAAGCTGCTACAGATGGTTATTGACGTAAGGTCATTCCACTCATAATGGTCATTCTTTAATTTTACAAACCTCCAATCGTTGTACAATGTTTCCACTCATAATGGTAATTTTTTAATTTTACAACCTCCAATCCTTTTATAATATTCCCACTCATAATAGTCATTATTTAATTTTATAAACCTCCAATCCTTTTATAATGATTCCACACATAATCCTAAACTCCTTGTATAAATTTAATTTACCACATCGTGAACTGCACCGTTATTTCGTCTTTTTTATAAATTTTCTTTCAGCTAAAGTCTGCATATGCTAATAAACCATCTCTTTTTTATATTCAAGGCTTTTTGACATATCTTACAACTCTGGAATTAAACCAACTTCCCTCAGTCAGTCAATTCAATTTCAATTTTCCCACAATTAAAGTAGGTTTATGGTACTGAAACACTCTTAGTAGCTCATAACATTTTAAATCTGGCATTTTTCTAGAATGATCTGTTAATCTAATTCTTATAAATGATAAAAAAAGAAATTATGCTGAGTTTCTCTACAGCAATCAACAAGCTTAAGCCTGAACGGTTTGTCGAAAAAAAAAAGTAATAAGCTTGAACAATAATATAAACTTTGTTGTGGCAGAGTATGCAGAACATTTGAAATGGAGTATATCAAAACTTGAACAATAATATGATCTTAATTGTTGTGTAGTGTTTAGAATATCGCTGATTTTGTTTTTAACTGAACAATATTATTTACAATCTTCGTGGTAGAGGGGGTACACAAGCTACTGCTGACAAAACCTCGAACAGCAATATAAACTTCATACAAGCTAGCATTAACAAATCAGTGTTCTAAGAAACATTGTTTACTTAAATTAACAGCGACGTAGGCGTATATCTTATCAGGTGTTATAGACTCCCTGATCAAAAGCAATTTTATAAAGTTACCAGGAAGCAATCGAAAAGATTTCTGAAGGTATATAGGTGTTATAAACTCCCTGATCAAAAGCAATTTTATAAGGTTACCAGGAAGCAACCGAAATATTTCTGAGGGATATAGGTATTATAGACTCCCCTGATC